CCTTTACAGGGTTCCTTGCATGGCTCTAGAAGGGATCTACAGTGGGGTTCTATGGTAGAAAGGGGCCGAAACAATTGCCTATATACTACTCCTTACGGTTCCTTTAAAAGGGGTTTATAAGGACTACTACAAGGGCTTTGCGTTTAGCAGAGGGGCTTAAATTCTTATCGACACTGTTTAGGGCTTAGGCTTAATTATTGGGTTTGGGATAGCAGGTTTTTTTGGGGGTTAGTTCAGGGTTCAGGGTTCAAGTTCCATTTTCAGGCTTGAAGCCCGGAACCCACAACTTTCAATCCCATAAATTTGGTACCCTAAACCCTAGACCCTAAACCCAGGGCGCCGGCCCTTAGTTTGTAAGCCTCGAACTTTACAATAAGTCGCCTAAGCCATCCACAAACTGCACCATTCGAGCTTTGTGAGCCCTAGCACCCTAAACCCTAGCCCCTAAACCCTAAACCCTAGCTCCTAAACCCTAAGCCCTAGCACCCTAAACCCTAAACCCAAACTCCTAAAGGCTTTCATCCGAACTCCCCGAAGCTCCTTCTACAAAGCCCTGGAACTGGTCCTTCTACCCTTATAAACCCGAACCACCGGAAACCTTAAGCCCGAAAAGCCCCTAAGCCCCCAAACCCTACACCCTAAATCTCAAACCCCTAATTCCCAAACCCTACCTTAACCCTGAATAACCTTTGACTTGTATAAAGAAATCATAGTAAGGAACCCTGAAAAGGTAGGTTCTTCAGGCTTAAGGTAGACCCTGAACCTTTAAACTGCCAAAACCCTAAATCCCTAGAGCTCGAGCGTCCTAAAGCCCCGGTCCCCAAACCTCTAAACCCCGAACCCCTTAACGGTTGAGGGCTTTGAGGTTTCGGGCTTATAGGGTTGAAGGTTTATAGGGCTGAGGGTTGAGGGTTTAGGGTTTAGGGTTTTGACCCGTAAACCCTTTACCCTTATACCGCTAAACCCTAAATGTGAACCCTTAACCCTTAAACCTCTCAACCCTAAATGCGAACCGCGAACCCTTAACCCTTAAACCTCTAAACCCTAAATCGCTACAGGTCCCTAACGAAACAAAGCCCTACACTGCAGGTGGATCAGCTCTGCCAGGAGGCTAAGGCCGCAGATACCACGCCGGGTGCGGAGTGTCGCGCATGGGGCTCAGGAGGTTTAGGGAGGTAGAGCTTAGGGTTTTTGTCAGGTTTTAGGGTGTAGGGTTTGGGGAGATAGAGTTTAGGTTTAGGATGTAGAATTTTTGGAACGTTTGGGGCTTCTGGTTTTGTTCTGCAGCGGGGGGGGGGGCTTACGGTAATGCTAAGAAAGCTAGGGTGTAGGGATCTAACTCCTTAACCCTGAAACCTATAAAGCCTAAACCCTGATTAAACCCTAAGCCCTAAACCATAAACCGGCATCAGTTAAGCCCAAAACACTAGACCTTTAATCCCTAAACCTCAAACTCACAGACTAAACCCGAGACAGGCTCGGCAGAACCCTTGGCCGTTGAAACTTCGAGGCTTCTTAGGGTGTTAGGATTCATAGTGCTGAGGGTTTAGGGCGTATAGGGTTTAGGGTTTAGGGTCGGGATGCAGGGTTTAGGATTTGAGGTTTGGTAAACTCGGGATATTCTTCATGTATCGTTCATCTGTGACGATAGTTCCATAGACCCGAAGCCGCAAGCTTCAGAAATCTACACTGGTGCATAGAACTCCAGTGGCGCTGCTACTGTGAGGAGTCGATTGAGACCCCCCTGTCGAAGAAATCTTGAATTGGCTTCAGGAAGGGGTTGCGCCCGGCTCTGTTCCTCTGACCAGAACTGTGGAGCCACTCCAAGGAAAGAAGGTGCGCGTTGATCCTGCGCTGGGCTTTCGCGCTCTGCGACAATGGCGCCAGTCCGTTGTCGACGACTATGCGAAGCTTAGCCATCGCAGGCACAGTCGGTGGTGACGACCCAAAATCGCGAGGGGAGTTGCGGTGCGAGAGAGATCAAGATGTATACATCCTTGGCATAATCCGCCGCGCTGATTTGCTCGCGGTGAGAGGGAATGCCAGAGGCAACTCCTTCCGGCTGCAGACTCATTCTGGACCGGGTCCAATACGTGTCAGACTGGAAGTGGGGTTTAGGGCTCAGGATAGCTCCACATGATGGACAAAGTGCAATCAAACTACGACGTAAACCTTCAACAGAAAGCCTATCTGTTATCTTGTGATGATCCTTTAATATGATTTCCTAGCATAGTTCCTTAAACAAGCTAGTGCAGTTTCTTGTGGAGGGGTGCAGGTGCACCCTGAGCCCTAAAACTAATCCTTAAGATTCAAGCAAGACCCTGGGCGGTCGGGGGTTTAGGGATTACCTTGACGTTAACCCCGAAAAACCTACCTTTTGAGGGTTCCTTCTTATGATTTCCGTAACAAGGTCCTTAGAAAGGCAGGTTATTTGGGGTTTAGTGATTAGAGTTTAGGATTCAGGGCACTGCACGCCAAACCCTTGAAACCCTGCCCTACCTGAGATAATCCCGAAACCTGGTAGGATAGATATTTGGTGTTAAGGTATCGTCTGCCATGGCCATAGCCGTGTAACGACTGAAATAGGGGGGCTTTAGGCTGCTCTTGAAGGGTGACTAAGGTAGTTAAGAGTTTAGGGAATGTAAGAAGTGCGGGGCCTATGCATCCAGCCCGTCCACGCATCGAAGGTTGCCAACTTCCTCTTCCCGTCGGGCTTCACGTGCGCGCTGAGCTCGGGAACTTCCCCCAAAGCCTCCTACGAACGACCATTCATGGGTGCCACTATCCACGGTTCAGGGTTTGGAGCCACGGTATGGGGTTCAGGGTTCCTGGAGCTCTTTTCAACATAAAACCAGATGCTGAACTCCCGTTCACTCTGCAACCCCCCCCCCCCCCCCCCCCCTGCACCGTAGCTGTTACAGAAACTCCGCGAACCCGTCGGCCCTGAAAGCTTCAAGAGGGCCGACTGAAGGGCGTTCAAGCACGAAGGCTACAAGATGGCGAGGAGCCCTCATGAGACACACCAACTGGGAGGATCGCATTGCGAGCCCTACACCCCAGCGGCCTGAAATAATACCCCTAAGTTCAGTAAGCCACGCGACGGCCAGTGGGTCGAAGTGGAAGAGCAGTTCCACCACAGAGTTCAGTTATAGGATGTCGGCATTTTAGGGTGTGTGGTTTAGGATTGTCGGTTCTAGAGGACATAGTCATAGTCTATGGTTTAGGGTTGTAGGATTTTGGGCAGAATCGCGAGCACCAATCTGAAATTTAGGCTTACGCATCCTCTTCTTCGTAAGCTTGACATCGAAAACATCAACAAGCATGACGCTTGGGATCAGCCCGTATATGCCAAACCATATGAAGGTCTTGTAGAGTCTTCATATTATATAACCCTAAACCCTAAACCCTAAACCCTATACCCTAAACCCTAAACCCTAAACCCTATACCCTATAACCCCTTGCGTACATCAGGCCCTCATAAATCTACAAGCTTAAAGCTCAAAAGCCTGAGCGAAGCAACTCCCCAAGCCACGGCTCGACAACAATTACGGGTTTAGAGTTTAGGGTTTAGGGTTTAGGGCATTCTTGCCCTAAGGCTCTAAGGACTCATATTTTCAGGTTTTTTTTGGGCCTAAGGGCCTTCTTATATAAGGCTTTTGGCCCATTTTGAGCCTCAGGGTTGGTAAGCACTCAAGACAAGCTCTCAAGCTTACAACCCATGTCCGGACGGACGGCTCTGCGAAAAATGTCCCCGCAAACATCCACCCTAAACCATGAACCCTGAACCCGAAACCGGGTTAAGGGCCGAAGGTTTAGGGATCAAAGTTTGCAGTGGACGCCTGTATACAATCTCTACAACTCTCTACGATCACTGCATGAATAAACCCCTATTTCACATGAGGCCGGGACCAAAAATGCCATCGACGACCTCTGCAAGCGTGCGACGGCTGCCAGGGCTTTGCAGGCGGATATGGAAGCGACGGGGTCTGTTTGGTTTAGGGGTTTAGGGTTTAGGGTCTCTTCGCGATTTTGCAGAGTGAAAGACTAGAGAAGGCTGTCTAAAATTAGGGGCCCTTTGTTTAGGGCTCCTTAAAGGGATCTATGGGGGTTTCTATAAGGGTACAGGTCGTGAAGTTTCCCGCCAGAAGGACATGCCGAACAAGAGAAAGGAATAATTAAAAAGCCGGCCAAAAGACCATTCTAGATAACAATTTCTGACGCAGTAAAGACACCGAACCCTCGTAGACCGCGTATGCAGCTTTTACATAAGGTAGACACTTCCAAAAAGGAGCCGCTAAAAGAGGAAGCCAGAGCTTAAGCCCTGAACCCTAATCTCGAAGCCAGCTAGCAACTACCAATCAAACCCTAAACCCGACTTATTCTAGGCTGTCCAGAGACCTAGCAAGAAGCTATAGCATCTTGAGCCCTAGGGTTAAGGGTTCAGGGGTTTAGGGTTTCGGGTATAGGGTTCAAGGTTTTCTTGGTGTGGGTTTAGGCTTTATAGGATTCTGGTGGAAATGATAGCTTCAGATAGTTTGCTCAGTAGCAGAGCATACAACCTTGAACCCTGTTGTCGCATTTAATTGCAACCCCCAAGGGTTAACTTTTACCTTAGTCTCCCTAGAAAATATATCATCATCGTAGTTTGCAAGACGGGTCCGAGTTGCAGAAGAGCACGTGCAGCGGCGTGTCGCGATTGATGCGACACTTTCGCCACCACTACAACGCCAAGATCGACAGCCGCCAGGTCAGAAGGACCGATTGCCATTGCAAGGGAGTGTGCAAGGTTTCGCTAGTTCAGAGGGACGGAGTTTGCTACTGCATACTTACTGGCCTTACATAGTGATGAGGAGGTCCCATGAGCGGCTCATGTTTGCTTTGACGATTCCGCTGGACTTCATGCCCGCCTGTCTTGATGCCGCGTGGCTCACAGCTCTTAAACCAGTTTCACCACCAGCAAGGCACTTCCAAACTAGAAGTTGCACTTACAAGCAGTGGCCATGGGTCTCGGAGACTGGGTTAAAGGCGTCGCTGCTGGTGTCACCTGTGGTGCGATCGCTGTGGTTGCAGCCCCGGTTGCTCTCGGGGCAATCGGATTCACAGGCGCAGGCATCGCTGCAGGTAGCACAGCCGCTGCGATGATGTCAAGTGCCGCCATTGCGAATGGGGGTGGCGTGGCAGCAGGCAGCACAGTTGCCGTTTGCCAGAGCATCGGAGCGGCGGGGCTTGGCTCCGGTGCAACAGCTGCGGCAGCAGTGGGTGCGGCCTTGGGTGGAGGCGCAGCAGTGACGCGCGATGCCTACCGTGCACTAGCATGGCTCCGTGTTTCGGGTTTTTGAAAAAAGCACGACTCAGAGGTAGCCCTTTCAAATGTAATGCTGCATTACTGTAATGCTGCTCCAGCATCGGCAATTGATGCTGGCTACATGGGGTTCGTGCATGCAGTTTTTGTGATTTGCCAGAGAGACTCGGTGCGCCATCCTTGCAGGTGCACTTTCATGAGCTCTTGAGGTGTCATTCGAGAGAGCACATCCAAAATCAGCAGCTGCGTGCGAGAGCGAAGCCGTTGTAAAGCCCACCACCTTTTTGCTCAATCCACCCTAAACGCTAAACCCTAATCCTCTCCCACTTGTCGTCCCGAAGGAATACTCCGACGACGAGCCCGACAGCAAATCTCGAGCGCTACATCGCCAACGCAGTGGTCGACCTTTACGTCTTAGATAATTAGATAAGATATCAAGCACTGAAATTCCTGTTGATAAGTCACTTAATAAGATGTTAGAGGCTATAACATCATTGCGGGAAAGCGCCGTCAGAAGTCTGCCGCGCTTCGCGTCAGCCTTATTCTGAAACCTTGTTTTTAAGAAGACAATTTCCGTTTTTTGAGTTGGGTGTTATGGGCTTTCTAAGTGGTGGCGCACACTGTGCGGTTCAGTACTATAGTACTACAGGGGCTTGAATAATTACCAATACTATTTTGGTGGCTCCTTATTATATTTATAGTATGAAGGCCCCAAAACCCTATTCTAATTAAGGTCCCTAGATTATGTTTTCTCTATGGGTCAAAGTGTACGGTTTCGTCACACATGGGTTCTTCAGGTGGGTCTTCCAGTGGTATGTAGGGGTGGTTCAAGGCAGCTTTCGTCGCATGGGTGTTGGGGAGGCCTAGGGGGGTGTGCACGGCCAGAAAATGGAACTTGTAGTTGCTAACTTGACTATATCTTCGCTTGGAAAGCTGCTTCGGAGGCTCGCCCGATCAAGACCAGTGGAGCGTTCCACACACCTTTGATGTCCCCTGCACAGGACGAGGGCTCAATGAGCCTTTTGAGTTCGAGGTTTCAAGTTCCGGTTGGGTTTAGGGTTTAGGGGTTTAGGGGTTCGGGTGTGTTTGAGGCCTGGGGTGAGTCCAAAGGCTTAATTATGGCTTCAGGTCGGGGCTGGCCCGCTCAGAGCCCAATAAAGTTTGAAAATCCAGGGAGAGATGTCCCAAGAAGTGCTTAGGAGTTATAGGTTCAGGGCCAACAGTTTCAAAGTTATTGGTGCATATTCTTGAGGAAGGGTTGAACGGTCTTGGATTCCGCCGTCTAGGGAAGAATCGCTGTAGGGTTTAGGGGTGTAGCAGGCATTCAGTTGTATTGGGCTTGCCGCGTAGTGTTCGTAGTTCTCCAAAACCAAACTTTTACGTCATGATTTCTTATGACTCGGAACGGCTCTGAAAGTGTAGCCTGATGTACTACTTAGTCAGAAGGGGAGTGCTCGCTTGAAGAAACAGCCGTGCACCTCGTGCCGGTTCAGGGCGAGACGGATTCCAGGCCACCTTTCGAATCTGAGCGAGGTTAATAATGATCGGTGCAGGGTTTAGGGCTTCTAGGGTTTAGGGTCTCCTTTGCGCATGGTACCTGAAGAACCACGAGCTGTCCAGCGACGTCTTGGTGCAGTGCAGTGCGAATGGCTTTGTCTTCAGCAGAAACATTGGGTGTTGTACCTGCACCTAAACCCCAAACCCAAACGGCACCCTAAACCTTGTCCCTTGCACCTTAAACCCAAAAGGCACCCTAACCTTATGCCTCAAACCCTAGGCGCAAAAGTCACCCTAAACCTTATCCTTTCACCCTAAATGCAAAAGGCATCCTAAACCTTATCCCCTAAACCCTTATCCCTTAAACCTTACACCCAAACCCTAAACCCAAATTCCCCGAAACTTCAACCCCTGGAGCGACAAACCCTGCGTCCCTGAAGCCCGTAAACCCTAAACCCTACATTCCTCAAATCCCTAAATCCCTGAATCCCTGAAACCCGTAAACTCTGAACCCTACCTTAACCTACCAAAACCTACTTTTTTGTAGGGTCACTATAAACCCCGTATTAGGTACAAAAAAGCAGGGTTTGGTAGGTTAAGGTACATCCCTACAAACCTCAAATCCCGGAAACCCTGAAGGCCCTACAAACCCTAAATGTTTGAATCCTAAATCCCCGACACCCTCAAGCCGAAGCCAGAAATTTGGAAAACATCATTATCCTCATGCCCTTAAGGTATGGTAGAGGGAATCCTAGCACTAATCATCCTAAACCCATATTCCAACTTTCTGGCGTTCACTATAGACCTGAAACCCTAAACCCGAAAACATCGAAACCCTGAACCCTAAACCCCCCCCCCCCCCAAAAAAAAAACCCTAAATCCTTGAAACCCTGAAGCTCTTAAACAAAAAGAAGAACCCAAAATCCCTGAAGCCCTAAAACCTCAGAAGCCTTGAACTTTCAGGAGCAGCTCTCACGGGCCTTGGATGCCGCAGCGCAGAAGATGGCACCCCCGAGGCCATCCTTTGAGGGGCCTGAGGAGTCCAAAAGGGGTTTTAGCCTATGGGGGTTAGGGATCCCCAGGGTTCCTTTAAAGGGATCTAGAGGGGGTTCCTTTAAAGGGATCTATAAGGGTATCAAAGGAGGCCAAAAAGGGGTTTTAGCCTATGGGGGTTTAGTAGGGATTAGGGTTCCCATAATAGGATTCATATTAAGGAATCCCTACCCCAAGAATCCTAAACCCCCCTTTTGGCCTCCCATCACAGGGGCCTGAGGAGTTTAGGGACCCCAAAAGCACATGAGCACACGCATTTTTTGGGGATATCCCTACCTTGTTGGGGGTGGGTTATATGGGATATCCCTATCCTAATTTTTGCTTATGTGCTTTTTTGGGGGCCTGAGGAGTGGGTCTCGTGTTTTGTGGCTTAGGGTTTGGGGCTTGGGGTTTCGGGTTCATTCAGGGTTTGGGTTTTGTTGAGGGTTCAGGGTTTATTGAGGGTTTTAGGGCTTATTTAGGGTTAAGGGGTTCTTGTGGGATTATAGGGCTTATTTGGGCTTTAGGGTTTAGTTTAAGGTTTAGGGTTCGCTTCATCATCCTAGTCCACTCGAACCTCAACCAGCCTAAACTCTACACTCTGACTCTCGGCTGAAAGCGCCAAAACCCTTCACCCTGAGTCGTTTTTCCCAAAGGGTCCAGGTATCATTCTGGTATATACTTGTAGGGCATTTTGGGGGTCTTTGTATATACCATGATGATACTTGGACCCTTTGGGTTTGGTTTTTGGATCGGGGACTGTTGCGGTTGAGATTCAAAGTCTGGAGGTTTCAAGGTTTCAGGTTGTTCGGTTTCAGTAGATGCTCACCCGGATACTTAAAGGATCATGGGGCTCAGTAACTAGGGTTATAATTCAGGTAACTATGCTTATAGTTACTTATAACCTCACTTGGCATACTTGTGACCCCACTTACTAAGTCCCATGATCCTCCAAGTAGGGTCTAGGGCAAAGTCGAGGCTTTAGTTTAAGGTTTGAGTTCAGGGTTTAGGGCCGCGAAGGGGTGCTGGGCGACTGTTGCAAACAGTACAATGACTGGCTCCATGGGTAGTTCTCCAAATTGGAGTCCCGTTTTAGATCCCAAAACAGTACGGCTCCCTTACAGACAGCACCCTAGGCTTAATTTAGAGAACTCGTATATCACTTATAGCACCCTTATAGAAGCCCTTTTGGATCCGTCTACGGAAGCCCTAAGAAGGGGGCCCTAATTTTGCACAGCCTTCTATAACCTTGAACTCCCGAACTTGTGTGAAACTCTTCCTATGGACTGCTCTCCGCCCAGCTTTGGTTCAATGAACCCTGACGTAGGGGCCTTAATGGTTACCTAAACTATTTTGGGGGTGGCTTAATATATTTATAGCATAGTGGGCACCAAAACCCTTAATCCCCATATTAAGCGCGAACCCCCAGCCCTGGTTTTAGGGTTTAGGGTTTAAGGGATCTATAAGGGTCCCTTTACGAGGATTTATAGGGTTTCGGTGTACCCATAAACCCTAAACCCCTGAAGCCTCCGCCCTACGCCTTAACCCTTAAACTTTGTCAGAGTTGGGTAGCATTTTACATTTTTATGGGTACTTAAACCCAATAAGGAATAATAATGTACATTTTTCATCCTATCCCAACAATGAACTAGTAAACCCCAGAACCTAAACCTTGAACCCTGAGCGCAGAAACCCAAAGGGCCCTTTGATTTTGAGACTCAGTGGTTTGCCGTGTAGGGGGTTTAGGGTGAACCTTAGACCATCACAAGAGCCGAAGCCCGAATACCGTCAGACCTCAAACCCTAAGCCCTGACCTGAAACCCTACCTCTAGTCTCCATTGTAGTGCCTGTTTTTGGTTAACCAGTTTTATGGTTAGGATCCTATAATAGAGTTTTTGGTTTACCAAGAAAGGAACTACAATGGAGACTATAGGTAGTACTCCTAAACCCGAATACCCTAAACCCTGAACCCAAAACCCTAAACCTTGAACCCTAACTGCTACCGTTTGTCAGCAGGTGTAGCTTGTACTTCAACGTCAACGGCAAGCGGGCGTGGATCCCAACCCGATACTATAGGGTCCTTAATAACTACCTCTACTATTTTGGGGGTTCCTTATGATAGTCAAAGTATAATCGGGCCCAGAGCCCTATTCTAATTATTAAGGCCCTCATATTCATTGAGTTTAGGGTTTTAGGTGTTAGGAGCTTGGGTGACGCGGATTTTCAGTGAGGTTGTAGGCCTTGATTTCACCATTCACGAGGGTTTAGGGGTTCATGGTTTGGGTTTGGGGTTTCTGGCCTAGAGTTTAGGCATAACTAATTAGCCTAAGTTTGCAATTCGCATCATTCTCGTTGGAAATCGAAAGAACTGAAACAGGAGTTTCCCATTTATTTGTCACTCATGCTACCGAGGCTTCTGAGTAGGGGCACATTCTCCTACGAAGGCTCATGCACATCGTCGGAGTGTCTTGACGGTTCAGGGTTCAGTGTTGTATAGTGGAGGACCAG